GAATTAAACTTCCGACTTTACTTTTTCACATGCATTTTTCTTTTTGGACCACCCTAATGTACGTACGTTAGAACAGAAAATACATATGTTGTGATATCGTTCGATTTAAGGCAAAAAGGTATGTTCAGCATGTGTACAAGAGTATATTAAAGATTTAACGCATGTACTTACATACATACATACATATGTAGACAGCAGTGGGTGTCTAAAAATAGCGCCTCATACAAACACCACAGGCTGTCAGCAGGACTTCAAATCCATATATGTATGTGTGTATGTGCTATCAGTCAAGCCTTGTTATGTTTTAGTTATTGCAAGGATATCTACATACATACATATGTACATATGTAAGCATAGTATGTTAAAAACATGTACCCCACATATGCGTACCGATTGCTGTTTAAGACACATATTGTTCGCACATTTACGTAGATACATATACAAAATACGACTAGCTACCACTATTTAATTTCCCTCCAATTACAACAAATGTGGCGGGTAATATTTAAATATGTAACTTACATACGTATATTCCAAAAATTGCATGTACTAAATATTTTTTGAAATAGTCTCACCGTCATCTGCATATACAGGGCACTCATCGTAGTTAAGCTCGAGAGATTTAGTCCAGCGTTTTTGAATTTTTTTCTACCTATTCCAAATAATAGAATTTTTCCAGGTTCTGAAAATGTGCATTTATTTCAATGATGGCCGCTTCATTCGATTAAAATCGATTGCCATCGAACCAATTCTTCAAATATCGAAACAGAGAACAGTTCAGCGGATTAGTCATAGCAAGTTAAATAAAAGCTTGTAAAAAACAGTAATTCAATATTATTTTCATTACTTCCGCTGGCATTTGAGTTTATGTAACATGTTGGGGCCTTCAAAAATGTGTCAAAGAGCTCTGTCCTAGTTTTTTAAGTGTACGCAATTAAAATAGTAGCCCAATATTGGGGTTAAGTCTGTCAGCAATTAATATAATTTAATGTTTACCGATTATTTCCTCCGATGCTCGGTTCTAATCATAGGGTGTGACATAAGTAATGTAATAAGTTGCCGACTTAAATTTTTATTTTTTTTATTTACATACTTGACTAAACAGATAAGAGTAACGCAAGGCTATCGGCTTTTCTGCCTAATCATCACTTTTCATATCAAAATATAAGAGCTTATGCATATATATATACATACAAATGTATGTATGTATGAAACAACAAACCAATCAATATAGTTATGTACGAGTATATACATAACTACTACATACATACATACATACATATATGTCATGTGATGTCGTTATCAGTTTCGTCGTTGAGGATTTTTTTTTATTATTTGTTGATCTTTGGTAGTAGTAATATATGGTGGTATATTTATACTTACATATCTATGTATGTATATGTACCACCAGCACAATAAGAATAAATCATTGCCAAAACCACTGCTAAATAAAAAATCATTACCACCTTGCATAAATGTGTATGACGCCATTATTCGCACTTCTAAGTGCTGAGAAAATTACGTTTGTACCAAAATACTCTTAATAACTTTTGATTTGAAATGTGTGGGAAGATATGGGCCACCACAATATTTTGTTAGAAGAAAAATAACATTTGTCACCAAATTGTTCTTTTCTTCTTTCATTTAGGCTCCATTGTGTCAGGTGAGAATGAAAATGAAATTACTTTCCCAGGCTTCTCAACCTCAAATACGAAAGACGTGTGGCTGGCTGGCGATGAAAGTGTGTTGAAAGAAATCCATTTGAGCCACTTCTATTTTCTTCTTATCCTGTGAAATTGACGCATTGAAGTCAGTATACTCACCCCTAAACACTTAAATTCACTATATACAAGAATATGCTTTAACAAGTACAATATATGTACATATGTATATAGGTGAATTAATGCTTTCACACACAAGTATCTAACCCTATTTTTCATTCTTCTCATGAACCTTTAATCACTGCCTTCATAACAGTTTATTTATTTATGTACTTTAATCCTTTAGGTGGTGATGTGTGCGGCTTGTATGATGAAACTGATTTTGTATAAAGGACGTGTGATTTATAATGAAAATTTTTTGGAACATTTGGAATTTTCCTTTTTGACAGAGCGCTACTTACATCATGAAGTTGGGCGCTGAAGACTTCTTCTTCCTCTTTATTGGCGCTGTAACCGCCTAAGCGATTTTGGTCCAGTTCAAAACAGCACGCCAGTTGTTTCTCTTCTGTGCCAACTGACGCCAATTAGAAATGCCAAGTGAAGCCAAGTCCTTCTCCACCTGGCCTTTCCAACGCAGTGCAGGCCTTCCTCTTCCTCTGTTACCAGATTCGCGACCCGGGTTGAATACTTTCAGAGCTGGAGCATTTCTGTCCATTCGAACGGCATGACCTAGCCAGTGAAACCGCTTAATTTTAATTCGCTGCGCTATGTCTATATCGGTATAAAGCTCATACAGCTCATCGTTAAATCGTCTGCGGTATTCGCCATCGCCAATGCGCAAAAGCCAGTAAATCTTGCGCAGAAGTATTGTGCCTCAGCGGTTTAGTTCTGCAGCTCTCAGTATCTTCTCCAACATCAGATTAAAGAAATCACACGAAAGGGATTAACCATATCTGATACCTCATTTGGTATCAAATGGCCCAGGGAGGTCCTTACTAATTCTGACGGTGCTGGTGGTATTGGTCAACGTCATTTTACATAGCCGTATTCATTTCGCGCACACCTGGTCTATGGTGGATTTTTCGTGCCGAAAGACATACTGATAAGGTCCAATCTGTTCGTTGACTGTGGACTTCAGTCTTTCACACAATACACTCAACAAGACCTTGTAACCTATGCTTAGAAGGCTGATCCCGCGGTAGTTGGCGCCAATGGCGAGGCAGCTCCTTGCCGCCATACTTGAATAGCTCACTCATTTTGGTTTTGTATTGCATCTTAAGTTTGAAGTTTAAAATAGATCTGAACTCATAGTTTCCAGAACAAAAGTTATATACGCGCTTTATGAGAGGTCAATTGCCAATTCTTTTGTCGCACAATTACCTGGTCATCCAACCCAAACCACACTTATGGTATACTTGGATGCCATCTCGTTTAGAATATGTCTACATTAAATAGCTATTTTATAGGAAGTCAAGCAGCATTCTGAAGATTTAAAATTGGTTTGTTTGAACGAGTAAATAGAAATCGCTTTTTTCATACCGGTTACCAATTTCGAAAACCCGAATTCTTAGTGCCGGTTACCAATTTCAAAAAAAGCGGAGTGGTCCTGCCCCGTTTTTTAATATTTAAAGAATAAAGCGAATTTAAAAATTTATTAAACAGGTATTCTTCTTGCTTTGTTCATATTAAATATCGAATCATTAAAAATTGGTTATTCGCAAAGAACAGTTATCAATAGTGTAAGCGTCAAAAATTATTACTATTATTATTATTATTATTATTATTATTATTATTATTATTAGTAATAAAAAATGAACGTGATAACTCCACTTTTCTCAAAATTGGTACCCGTTACTAAAAACCCGGTTTTTTGAAATAGGTAACCGGTACAAATAACCACAAGTACACCTAAAAATAGAGCGACATTGACTGTACTATGTACATATTCCTGGAAAAAGCTTCTCATATAAAAACATTTTCCGCTCCGAGGCAGCCTAAAACTGTAGATCCCTCAACTTCCGTGACAACAGCAAAAAATCTGCCACAAATTGCAGGCACAAATACATATGTATTAACAAATAATATAGAGCCGGTAACCTAATTAGCGCCTCCTGGCTTAATATCATATCAGTTACCCCAACAAACTAGCATTTGAATCTTATTTTCATCATTTTCTCTAAACCAAACTTTTTCCTAAATTTCAAAGTAGTATTTAAATATAAACTCAGAGTACGGAACTTTGAATTATATTCTATATAAAAACCTTCGCCTCCAATGCGCTCTACCACCCTCAATTAAAAATTCATAGCAGTGCCACGCAGCGTCCACCGCGCTGATCGTCAGCCAGCATTTGCTACGTGCACAAGTATCAAAGATCAGCTATAAAAGCATGTACACAAAAAAAATCTAAATCATAAAAATAAGAAAGTGCAACATATGTTTAACGAGGGTATAACACTTGTCCTGCCCACAATTTTTAGTTTTCAATTGCTGCAAACTGCAACCCTTACTCCCAACACCACGATCAATTCAGAGATTACTGCACATACGCTTTGTTGATCGAGCATAAAAAATGCATTCCCGATTTACTTGAAAATGCGCACCACAAATTGTAACGGTCAAAATGAGCAGAACGTACAATAGCAGCATCGCTCAATATCTGCACACACAGATCATCGGCAGCGCAGCAGTGATCAGCATTTCAATTTTCATAAATGCGTGCCTTGAATGAAAATTACCGAAACGCAACTCAAATTACCTTAAAATGAAATACGAATCTGGAAAAGAGAAAAAAAAAATCAACAAAAGATTTATGAAAATTCCAAACTCGAAAAATTTATTTTACTTTCCCACGATCAGCATAGCAAATAGTTGATATGCATAGAAAAGAAAGGATATGCTCTATGCGTTTTCAGCATTACCATTTAATCTGAATTATTTGTTCTTTTGCCTAGCAGGTAGAAAGGAAAACACACAAAAACACCAGCGGAGTGTGTGTAGGCATGCAGGAAAAATCCCTTTGCACACGTGCAAGGGATCGCTCGTTTCCAAAAAAAAAAAAACAAACAAAAATATTTAAAAAAATCCACAAAGGCCTTAACTATAACAACGCAGCGGGGATAAATGCATTGGATCAGGGACAGTCTCAGCGTCGCGACACCTTAACAAATACACTAATTGTGTGCGTTAAGGTTGGGAGAATACGTCAGAGCAGGTCAGGCGCAGGTAATGGAAAGAGCACCAGCCAGGGAGAAAGAAAATCAAATTACACCTGCCCGGCTATGCGTGCGCTGATTGGTCAGGAGGGCATTTACAGTGCGCTGCTCACTGCTTATTCGAGCCACCTAGGGGTAGTTTAGCGCATGCGCAAACGTATAAAAAGTCGAGTTGGTGAGCGATAGGACATCATTCGTAGCGTTGCATTCAAGCAAGTAACTGCAAAGTAATTTTGGAAATACTGAAGCTAAAAATTCAAGTTAATTCGGAAAATTTAAAAAAAAAAAGTAAACAATGTCTTTGTCTTACGCTACGCTCGTGAATACTTGCGATGCCAACAAATTGGCTAAGCAAACCATCAACAGCAAGCCGCAGCAATATACACCAAGGAAGGCACTCAACAAGGCTTTCAAGTTGTTGCGCCGCGTTTTCAAGCCATCCACATCGGTTAAGGTAATCAACAAAGCAGAGCAGCAAATCACAGCGCAGAAGTCGTTGAAAGTAGCTGAGAAGCAGAAGCGCCGCGAAGCTGACGCCGCCGTTCTAAGCGAAGTAAATGCACTCTGCTCTTGCTCAGCAATCAGCGCTGAAGAGTATGAGAATTTCCTCAACGAGTTGGCTGAGTTGCAGGCTGCAGCAAGCAATGCGATCGCTGCTGAGTAATGGTGCCGGATTTTGCTGTTTATCGCTTTACTGATTATTCCCGAATGCTACGCGCATTCTACTGGCAAGCCGCTAGTGCCTTCAAGGACCTGGTTCGTCCTTAAACCGCACCGCTTACATTGTAACGAGAAACGCTTTATATTGTCGCAGCTTTAATAGTTTATATGTATATAGCTTAGCGTATGTACGCGTGTGATGCAGTCGAACTGCCAACCATCCCTTCGGCGATCCATTTTAGAGCCCTTAATCGATCTGTGCGTGTGCTTCTAGACTTTTGGAAACACTGCGTGGACTGGCCTACCAGAAGCATCGTCGATATATGAAAGCTTTAATTTTAAGAAATCAATTGTCTTCCATTTAGTTTTTAAGTAATAGAAATTGTGTAAATTTTTATTTTTAATATACTCGAAATATATTAAAACATATTTTTTGTACAAAAATGAATTTCTATTCTTCTTTATTGGATCCTTAAGCATTTAGCATATTCGGCCTTATCACGAATGCCATGTGAACAAATATTCCCAAAAATTATAAAGCAAAACAAAAACAACTTTTTCCAATTGGTTTTTGTTTCGCTTGTTAAACTATGGGAATGATTTATTCACACGGAGTTGGCGATAAGGATAATTATCCATTTTGAATATTGGTTGAATTGGTTTATTTTCAAAATTGAAGAGTAATTAGAGCTGCTCTTTGTTTTAAGCTGGCAGTTTTATATTGAGTTTTACGTGGTTTTAAATATTTTGTTACTTTCGCAAAAAATTTCTAAAAAATAAAACTCACTTGTATGACGTCCTCTAGTGGCCTCTAGACTAGAGGTTTTCAGATATTTCTGTCAATTATTTGATAGCGGGAAGTTATTGCAAAATTTGCTGAAATACAGTTTTGATCGCTTTATCCAAGCAAGGCACACTCCTACGCACCCTGAAGCATCTTGGCTGCTTCTTTCATTTATGTTAGCAAAAGTTGTGGTTGCTTATCTTTTTTTACTTACGAAACCACTCAGCCTAAAATGAGTGCATTTTACACTGTGTTCATCTTTAGTGATAGAACTTCTAGCATTTTAAAGTTGGTTTGCTAAGGTCAGTTCGCTCATTGCAAGTTCATAAGCCGGCACTACTTATTTTCTGCATATCGCTACCTTTTTAACAAAATGCCCTAACTAAGCTTGATGTGAACTTACAGGGCAACTCTGCCTAAGATAGTAAAAAGTCTTTCGTATGACAAATGAAAGACAGATAGAAAGATGGTTTGAGAGACTTTTGTTATTCTAGCACAAAAGTCTTAGAAAAACAAGTAAGAGCAGCGCTGTCTTCGGCTATGCCGAAGGCTTCATACCTTTCATGAACATCTGCAAATTTTACTTTGACAGATTACTGCTTTTGAATACATCTGCATACATCGATAGAGGAGTTACATACTTATATAAAAAATCGCATCTAAACAATCAGAGGTATGGAAGATATACTTTATATGACACCAATCTAAGTGATTTTCACCGCTATGTGATCGGTATGTAAACCGGTAACACAATTTATTGGGTTTAGTTTCGTACATAAAGGAGATATATGGCAAAAACTGGTATCTTAACAATCAGTGCTATAGGAGATAAAGCTTATAAAGCATAGATTTTGACGATTTTCTCAGTAGACTTTGTATTATTATTTATAAAATATCTTACGAAATTTATCGGTTTTAGCTGTTCAAATAAAGGAGTTTTACAGTAAAATCCCATATCTGAACAATCAGATGTATGGAAGATATATGTTGTAGTCATCCGATCCTTGTTATTTCCGCTGTAAGTATTCTGTTAATAATGAGTGAAAATGGTGCGAAATTTCATGTTCCTAGCTGCATAAATGGAGGAGTTATGATAAAAGACCTCATATCTGAACAATCAGTTGTATGGGGGCTGCAGGTTATAGTGACCCGATCTTTGTTATTTTCGCTGTAAGTCTTCTGTTGATAATGAGTGAAAACAGCGCGAAATTTCATGGTCCTAGCTACAGAAATGGATGAATTATAACGAAAAATCTCATATCTGAACAATCAGTTGTATGGGAGCTATAGGTTATAGTTACCCGATCTTTTTAATTTTCACTGTAAGTTTTCTGTTGATAATTATTGAAAACAGTGCGGAATTTCATGTTCCTAGCTATATAAATGGAGGAGTTATAACGCAAAATTTTATATCTGAACAATCAGTTGTATGGGAGCTATAGGTTATAGTGACCCGATCTTTGTAATTTTCACTGTAAGTATTCTGTTGATAATGGGTGCAAGTATTGCTATAGGTTATAGTTACCCGATCTTTTTAATTTTCACTGTAAGTTTTCTGTTGATAATTATTGAAAACAGTGCGGAATTTCATGTTCGTAGCTGCATAAATGGAGAAGTTATAATGAAAAATCTCATATCTGAACAATCAGTTGTATGGGAGCTATATGTTATAGTGGTCCGATTCTTCCGGTTCCGACAAATGATTAATACATTATAAAAATACACCCACCTACCAAATTTGATCCGGATATCTCGAAAACTGAGAGACTAGATTGCATACAAACAGACTGACAGACGGACAGACGGACAGACGGACATGGCTAAATCAACTCAGCTCGACGTTCTGATCATATAAGTATACATTTTAATGGGTCTATCTCTTCTTATTCTGGTACTTACAAACATCGGACCAAAGTTATAATACCATTTCATGCTCATGAAAGGTATAAAAAGCCTCGTGGTGAAAACCTCTTTTGCCAAAAAGCACTTGCGCCGCTCTAACAGCCGGAATAGCCAAGTGCTCAAAGCACTGGTTTGCCATTTGGGAGATACAGATTCCAGTCTTCGGCGAGCGTATTTTTTTTCTTTTTTTCTATTTATGTTCGTTTTCTTTTTTTTACCTTAAATTTATTTTCATTATTTAATTTCATTTACTTAAAAAGAAAAATACTTATACACATATTTTTTAAAATTTCATTTGATCTTTATTTAACATATTTTTTTAATTTTGGACCACGTCAACCGATGTCGACAATTCTTTTTCTATCGGAAATGTGGTGCCTCAGGGGTGGCCCCATACTAATTTGGTTTCGATCCGATCATTGGGTCATGAAGAAATTAACGGTTCTATTAAATTTTTATATGAGAATTGAAGTCGGTTTAGTTTTTTGCTTAAAAATTACTTGCTTCTTTTATTTTAACAGACATTTTTTCTTTTCTATTTTAAATTTCTTTCTATTTTCAGATTTTATAAATTTTAAAAGAAATATACTTTCATTAATTTTATAGAACTTTATGGAACTTACTTTACTTTTTTTTAACTATAATTTTTTAATTCACTCTTCTTGTTATGTTTTGATTTTTTATTAATGTAAAGTAATGTAATTCCTGGGAACTTATTTTCTTTTATATTTCATTTTCTTCTTTTATAATTACATTTTCATTTAGTTTTCTGATTTTATTGTTTTAAAAAGAAACATTTATTTTTAATTTCTTAAAATTTTTAAATCTTTTTATGCTTTTTAATATGGTTTTTTTGTTTCTCTTTAATACATTTTTTTTTTTAATTTTTAGTTTTTGTTATTGAAAAAAAGAAATATGCATATATATAATTTTTTTTTATTTAATTTAATTTTTAAAACAATTAAAAGACAAACAGAATGACGCTAAGACCAGCTCGTTAAGCAGGTCTTTCAATTAGTCTTTCGAAAGACAGTAGAGGGCTTTGAAGATAGTTGCCAGAGTTGAAAGACTTTTATCTTTCGAAAGACTTTGGTGAGTTGACAGACAGTTGCCACAGGTGCCCTGTTAGTTAGTCTTAGGTGAGGTTAGAATGGTGGCGGAAAAACTAATACGCCCAAGTAGCAGCTTAGTGCCATTTTGACACCATATACCTCAAATGAATATTTTATAACCCACCGGCGTGGTTGATGAAGTTGATTATGTAGTGCAGACTTATACCAGATAGCTCTCGTAATGATGTGAACTCATATGCTTCTATCGTGGTATTTCTGCTCCAATTACAGCTGGAAATTTGCAAAGACGGTGTTCTACTGTTTCCTGCTCGTTTTCGTCTCTGCAGCTTCTACAGAAGCCGTTGTAGGCGATTCCCAGCATTCTTGCGTGGGTACCAACCGGCCAATGCCCAGTAAGAGTCGCTACAACACTTACAACGTCAGATCTGGGTTTACTCAGTAAGTTGTGTGTTCTCTTAGGGTTGTGCATGGGCCACATGAGTTTCGATATACAGCATCCTGCCGCTGTGCGTCACCTTTGATCCGATTTCTGAAGATTGTAGAGAAATATGTCTCTATATAAAGTTCCAATTGTGGGTGAGATCCGGTCCTCGATCGACACCAATGTAGAACCCCCAAAGGCTTTTCTTAACGTGCTAGTTGCGGGTAAGGATAAGTCAGTAGTTCCGCACCAAGACTGGCTCCGCTTAGATCCTTCTCTTCACTCCTCCACCTAAGGGGTGAAGAGGAGAGTTGAAGTCTCTGGAACTAGTACAGACTAGACATTTTCACGGATCGGCCGAAGTTGATTGGACAGTTTTGGTGGAGGTATGTTCCTTCACGAACTCCCCGTGGATTTCATGCAAAGCTGAGCTTCATGGCACAGAGACATTGCTGAAAACTGCACGGCCATTTAATTTTCTTACATAGAGGGTATAGGAGTTCCTATGGCAACATGTGGACTGCTCCTGGACAGTCTAGTATCTACTAATTGACCCCTTGCCAAAAATATTCGGTGGCACTCCGAAGTTTTCCAGCATAATTCAGGCGAGAATTTCGTTTCCTTAGCAGCCGCTACGTACATACATTTAATACCATCGCGAAGTGTGCTGTCCTCAAGCGCAACAATCAGCTAAATAATAAAAAACTAACAATTTTTACTCAGTAAAATTCTCAAATTACATCAGCAAAAAGAAAAATGCATCGAAAACTGCATACGGGCTTGAGCTCACTTCGATTTCTCCCATAGGAGATGTTTTGCGCATGCGCAAACACATAAATATCCAGCGTAACCAGTGACAGAACGTCATTCGTAGCATTGCATTTGTGCAAGTAACTACAAATCATACAAAAAGTCTTCATTAGTTTTTTTGCAAAAATCATTTAGTTATAACTTATAGCAAAACGCCGAAAAAATGTTCTATGCTGCGCTCCTGAACACTTGCAGCGCCAATACTTTGGCAGAGCAAACTATCACCAAGCCAAATTACACGCCAGGCAAGACACTGAAGAAGGCCTACAAAGTATTACGCCGGGTTTACAAGTCATCTACAACAGGCAAAGTAGTACTCACCGACGAGCCGCATATCTCAGTGCAGACTTGGCTTAAAATGGCAATAAAGCAGCAGTGCCGCAAAGCTGAAGCGTCATCTGATCTCAACGAAAGCGCA